TAGGAATGTAAGAGAACTTCTACAACACGATAAAGGCTGTATGTGAAAAACCCACAGCTAACATCACACTCACCATTAAGACTGAAAGCTGCTCACCTAAGATCAGGAACAAAACACGGATGCCCACTATTGCCACTTCTATTCAGCAAAGTACTGGAACTTCTATTATTCTTATAATGTCAAAATTCTAAAAATAGGGCACAGAACGGAGCAAATAAAAGCTGAAATCAGTGTTCTGGGTATGGGAAGTGTCAGCAAAGAGCACACACATACCTCAGACCCTTCCTGAAAAGCAGGCATGTTCCCATGGGACGTCTCCACCACCTGATGCAATCTCTTATGAAGTTCATCCATTTTCTGTTTTAACAGCTGTTCTTCAAAAGCATTTGCTTCTTTCCTTTTCATATAATGCCTGTCTTCATTAACTTTAGGATAAAAAATTATTTGTATGTGAATTTTGAATACAGGTTGTCAGAGGCATATATGCAAAGTGAACTAAAGGTATTTTTGGGTGGCTTTTAAAAAAAAATCTTCTCCATGTTTATTAGGTGCTAGAATGGAAACCTGTATTTCAGTTTAATCATAATTTTAACTTACCCTCAGCATGGTTACTGTTATGGATTGAACTGTGTCCCTCAAAAATATGTGTTGTAAATCCTAACCTCTATGCCTGTGGTTATAATACCATTAGGGAATGGGTTGTCTTTGTTACGTTAATGAGACAGGATTAGTGTCGGGTGTAACCTGAGTCAATCTCTTTTGAGATATAAGAGATTAAACAAGCAAGCTGGCAAGGAGAGATGGGGGAAGAGATGTCAAGCCACAGATCTCCCAGGAGCAAAAGCTCAGAAGAGACAAGGACCTTCCTCCAGAGCCCACAGAAAGAGAAAGCCTTCCCCTAGCGCTGGTACCCTGAATTTGGACTTCAGCCTCCTAAACTGTGAGAAAATAAATTGTTTGTTGAAACTATCCACTTGTGATATTTCCACTATAGCAGCATTAGATAACTAAGACAGTTACTTTTATGTTCAGGGCATAAAAATTATAAAAGTTTACAAGTCAATCAACAAATCATTACTTGCTAATAGCACAACATAAAACTAAACAGCTTTTGAGAAATAATCATGGCTGTTCAAATTATGTAAAAATGGAACAGTTTTTAAAAGATAAAAATCCCTAGGTACTTTCTAAAAAGAAGTAAAATACACTCTATGGCCAGTGCATCGAGTACACTTCAGTTAGCCCCACTTCCAGTAACTAGGTTAGCATAACCGCATCACCTACAAGTCCAGCAGTCTGGCTAAAGATTTTAGGTCATGGGTGTGAAAGAGAAACGCGTATCCACCCAGCAAGTGTGCCCTCCATGAGCGTTAACCACCTCGTCTTATTTGTTGACGGAATACAAGAAGCAAAGACCGGAAAAGGAAGGCCTACAGAGTTGTTACAGCCAAATGACATCTCAGATAGATGATACGGAAGCCCTGAGTGAGATAAAGGTTCACCTTCCTCTCCCTAAGGCACGCGTTGTTACAGCAAAACCAAGTGCAAACACTGGTCTTAAGAACAAGGTTTTTGCTATGAGGAAAAAACCTGATCCACTGTCTTGCCATAAATAACACGGCACTCTGATCAAGGGACTCCTTCTCAATGTCTTATTTGTAGTACCTGAGAGCTAAGAAAACTTCTTCTGAACTGCAGTTCCTACCCTAATCCTTTCACAGTACAAGTAACAGACCTAGATGTTTAGAATTGTATATGGAATTTCAAATCCATAAAGATAAAATCTATTTTAAAAATTTAAAATATCTATTTCACTAAAAGATAAGGCAATGCTGGTGTGGACACCTGCTTCAGTGCTGTTTCAGCTATGAGCTCTCCTGTCAAGACATCAATTCAGTCTGTGCATAAATACGGCTGCTAGGCTAGTATTTAACAAAGATTCCTAGGCTTCTAGTAGGATGAGCTGGAGATGGTTTCTGCAGATTCTTTCAGCATAGAGAACTAGCTAGTAAAAATTACTATTCAGAGATGAGGATTATTTTAAACAGCATTAGAAAACTCAAATTATAAGATCGCAAGTACCCCATTGTTCATGCTTTCTCCGTTGGTTATATTTCTGGGCTCTCAGCTCTTCAAAGGAGAACTCTGATTCTCCACGAATAAGCTTCTCCTTGCAATACATAACAACCTGCTTAACGTCAGTTTTGGCTGCCGAAGATGAATGTGCAGAATATTCTGATTTAGAAATCATGATCACCCTCTGCTCCCTATAATGGGGAAAAAGACACTATTTACAACAGGCACTGGAATAGCTCTTGAATGGAAACTAAGGGATAGACTACTGAACTGATTGTACTTGCATATTTGACTCTTTATCACAAGTTGAAGACGTCACTCCAGAAAGCTGTGAACCCTAAAAGGACAGAAACAAAAAACATCAGCGCTCATTTACCTGAGAAACAAAGCAGAACAACCCTTCACTCAAACTACTTCACAAGAGTATGAAAACACTCGAGGGAGGGGGTCCCTTAGCATCAGGTGGATTTATACATGTTCTTTTAAATTATGATTAATATTCCAAGGTTTAACAGTTGGTCTCTATTCACCTGGAGCAGCTGAGGAAGGAGTCAGGAATAGGAGTAAATAGAATGTGTAGCTAATTGCCTCCATGAACAGCTGCCTTCTTGCCATGAGACCAGAAGAAATGGATGGTGCTCAGCTACCATTAATGAATGTTTTGATCAAAGGTTCTATAGCAGCATCCTGATCAAAAGGGGGAAAACTTGGAACAGAATTTCAAATTCTCACGGAAACCAGACTTTCTGGAGCCATTAAAGGCTGGATGACCCCCAAAACTACTGCCTTGAGATATAATCTTTCTGCCTTAAACCAAAACTATCCCCTGAAGTCATCTTTAAACCGAATAACAGTTCAGCTTAATTAGTAAAGAATGTCTGCCTTAAGCACTGTGCTCTTTTAAACAATCATCTACATGGGATCAGACTGACAGCAGCAACTCAAAAGATTAGATGAGAAACTTATGGGCACTGAGTTTATGTCAATGGTGGTGAAATAATTTGGAAAAGGATCCCATGAATGGTTATACTACTTGAAGAATGTAATCAATGTCACTGAACTGTACGTGTAGAAATTGTTGAACTGATTTATATTTTGCTGCATACATGTTCACCAAAAAATAATTTAAAATTTTAAAAGAATCATGGTTAATATCTGGCCTGCTGCCGTCGAGTCAATTCCCACTCATAGCGACCCTACAGGACAGAGTAGAACTGCCCCATACAGTTTCCGAGCAGCACCGGGTGGATTCAAACTGCTGATCTTTCGGTGAGCAGCCAAGCACTTAACCACTGCACCACTGGGGCTCCTGAGAATTACCTAGGAGTATTAAAATTCTGATTGAGGTTACAGGCACCAGCGTTTAAGCTCTGAGTATTTTACACAGGGCTCAGAAGCCTACATGTGGGTGTGACTTCCTGGGCTTATGTGAGGGAGGCCAGCAGAACAGAGGAGGAGGGGATGCTGGCAGGAGAGGCTGCCAGGGAGGAAGTGAAGACAGGAGGCTGTGTAGTGGGGTCCCTAAGTCAGACAAATGTGAGACGTTCTGGTCAGACAATGGTTATTTAGGAGGTTATGTAGTGAGGCCCCTAAGTCAGACAAATGTGACAAGTTCTGGTCAGACAACGGTTATTTAGGAGGTTAGGTAGTGAGGTCCCCAAGTCAGACAAATGTGACAAGTTCTGGTCAGACAATAGTTATTCAGAAGATTGTGTAGTGGGGTCCCTAAGTCAGATAAATGCAAGAAGTTCTGGTCAGACAGTGGTTATTTAGGAGGTTGTGTAGTGGGGGTCCCTAAGTCAGACAAATGTGAGAAGTTCTGGTCAGACAGTGGGTTATTTAGGAGGTTATGTAGTGAGGTCCCTAAGTCAAATGTGACAAGTTCTGGTCAGACAATGTTATTTAAACGTAATATCTGAGGCAAGCAGTGATAGAAAGTCACTTCAGGAGCAGGCTGACATAGAGGTTTGAGTTACGGAAGACCAGGTCCAAGAAATGAGATGCCACAGCGGATGTAGAAACCAGCCCGCACGGCACCTCAATACCATTCCCAGTCTCCCCACAACTACAGACGTTATTTTTACCTGATTCTTAGAAACACAGCCTGTGTTATTCTCTGGATTTGAGTTTGATGTTATCGTTTGATTTAAAACCTGAGCATTATGCAGCGGTTCTGAGGTTCTAGCTGTGGAGAAAACAGGATAAAATCAGGTTAAAACCATATCAAATAAAATTATCATATATTTCTCCTAATCTTTCGATAAGTAGCATAAGAAATAAATCAACTTCTTCAAACTGTCTGAGAAAATAAAACTAAAATAATTTTTTTAGATAAGACAAGTATTATAGACAATTTTCTGATCAACTCAAAATGTCCAAGCAAACACCCGAAAGAAATGTAAAACCTGACTAGTTATTTCAAACAGCAGGATAGGATAGTCAATGCTTATTGTTTGAAATATCTTTATTTCTTAAAAATTTGCAGTAAATATATTTGATTCAACTCAAAATACAAGGATTCCAAAGTAAGTATTATCCTCAAATCTGATTTTTTTTTTTAATCCTAAAAATATAGTCAAATCATCAAGGTTTTCTTGTGGGTTTGCTTTTCTAAAGTGCTGAGACGCAGCCCCTGCTCTCCAGGGCGATTTAGTGAGCATTATTATCATCAGGGTACCTTCCCTGTTACCTGAAATAATACAGTTTGGTATGTAATAGATACTGCATGGATTTTCTTTTTTTTAAAAGAAATTTTAGAAAGCAGTGCAAATCAGAAACTAAATTATCAACAACTCAGACATTTTGGAAAGCATTATTTTACCTTGAGCTGGCAAATGAGTTTCAGTGACGCGTTTCTGAAATAACCTAAATGACAGCAGTAAAGGCATCAATGTAGACTGTGTAAGCGTACGGTTTAAAACATCTCTGTATTAAAGTGAAAACTAAATAGAGCGCTTATTATAAGCTTGTGAAGACTGAGGGCAAGAGAGAATGTAAAGGTGAAGTACAGAGTTGCTTCAACATTACAAAAAAGTCATTGAATATCTTCATACCTAGTGCATTTATATTAGAAGAAAAATTCCTCATTTTGCCTAGTTTATGTTAGTATTTCTTAACCTCATGTAACAAACGTACCCTCCTTCTCTGGGGATCAAGTCTGTAAACGTTACAACACAAGGTGTTTGAGTTCTTACTTTTAGGCATTTTATACATCTGAGTCATGAAGAATATAATATTTGGTAGAAAGAAATGAACGTACAAAACTCAGACTGCGCCTTCAACAAGCAGATGTACTGCTGTTCATGTCCCGTGAGAGGTTCTCAGAGTCGGCATTTCAAGGCACCTTTACACATTAACTATACCTGAAAAGTGAAGTGTAATTTGCAAGCCTGACATTTTTGGGTGACATGGCAAAAGTATAAAGAGACTAAGAGATGTACAACCAAATGCAATCTGTGGACCTTGGTTCTTCAAACAAATGGTTTAAAAAAAATTTTTTTTTCACATGATGGGGTAATTTCAATAGTGACTGAAAATTGTTAATTTTGTTAGGTGTGACAACCACATCAAGGTTCTCTAAGAAATAACCCTCTAGAGATGTTTATGGACATGTTTGGGGTGAAACATTTTACTGTCTTGGATTTGCTTTAAAACTCTTCAGCACAGAAAAAATATGATCAAAGCAAAGTGTTAATAACTATTAAAAGCAGAAGATAGGTAAACGGAGGTTCATTATAGTAACTTTTCCTTCTTACTTGATATCTAAAATTTCTCGTAATACAGTTTTAAAAAGCATGAGCACTGTAGCAAAGCTGACAACGTGAGAGGATATTAAACGCCGGGGAGGAGCGCACTGAGACAAGCAGGCCCGACACCGCCAGCGAGCGGGGAGCAGCGAGCACTGGTATAAACTTCTGAGCAGGCAGTTTGGCAAAATGCACCAAAAGCCTTAAAACTCTTCATACGCCACTTGACTTAATAGTTTCAATTCTGAGAATCCATCAGTAGGCATTAGATAAAAATAGGAATTATATTAGAAAATACTTTTATGATCAAGAAAAAAAGGCCTTGATACAAAGCTGCATGTGTATGTAAAGCGTGCCTGCAATCCTGCAACAAGCAGAGAAAAAACGCCGATTAAAATGCCAAAAGGTTTCTTCTCCTTCTTTGGTTTTCTGTACTTTCAAAATTTCCAAAATGAAGTGTATTTAATTACACAAAAAGCAACAAATAGTCAAGGTTATTCATTATATCATTCTTTATAAAAATCAAAATGTTGGAAACAGCTTAAATGTTCACGAATAGTTAAACTATGACCTAACTCTGACAGATTTCACAGCCACTTTATAAGTAGTATAAAGCTCTTCTCTCTTAAGGGAATTATAAAGCTCAGTATGCAGAACCAGCCATATGGCACAATTTACTCTGCGAAAATACGCAAACACAGAGACACACATTACGGGCATGGGAAAAGAGACTGGAAGGAAATGCACAAAAACGCTAACATAGCATTTCTAGGTGCTTTTTAGTTCTTTACACCACTCTATATTGTCTACATTTTCCACAAGGAGAAGAACTGCCCTGTAAAAGAGATGCTCAGAGTAAGCATCACACCGTAAAGCAGGAACTGGCACCCAGAGATTTCTTTGGAAACTACCTGTACTGTTGCTGCAGCAGCTCTCTAGGTTCAGCCTGGTTCTGAATCCCCCTCCGAAGAACAGCACTGGCATGCTGCAGCTCTCCCTGGCCTTCCAGGTGCCCAGCCCAGGCGACATACAGAGGAGACGACAGGGTCCCAATCCCATGGTTGTACAGAAACTCATAGAACTGATGGAGGTCACTGTTGTACTCGGCCTACAGGAGCCCAAACAAACAACATAAGAACAAAGAAAGCCTCTTCTAGGTCTGGCCCAGCATGGAGTCGGCCCCCGGCGTCCAGTTTTCATGGAGGCCTCAGGGATGGTGGAGGAGGCACCTATGTTGTTTGATGGCAGCCTTAAAGGTGAGGCTCATTCCTGCCTTTGACATTCAACACCCTCACAACTACCCACCCTTCTTCCCAAGACGGACCCATTATCTCAAGCATTGCTTTTATTTGTCTTGATGTGAGCTTGCTCAAGTTCTACAGCGTGCCTCCCATCCCAGTGCTGTGTAATTTAGTGAACAACTCCTGTTTATCCTATCTACTCCATTCATGATTTTATTACTAGGGCGCCTGACCCCAAGCCGATTGCCAGATGAGAGTCCCAGCCTCTTCAAGTCTACCCTGAGGGAGCATTCTCTATTTACTACTGATTTTAGTGTCTGAGTTAATATTTCGTTGATTACTCACAATGAATTCAATTTTCTCCCAGGAACCCTCTTAGGACCTGGGAGTGTCTGCCTATCCAGCCCCCCTCCCATGGAGCACAGTTCTACTCTGACACAACGGGGCAATGAATTGGAATCGACTCAAGAGCAACTGTTTCTTTTTAATAGAAAAATAATCTTAAAATTTAGGGGGGAAAAGCAAAAGTATAACATGATTATAGTTTGATTATACATCTGAAAGTATACTTACAAATTTTAAACAGTAACTGATGAATCTTGGGTCATTGTGGTATCTCTTCTTATCTAAAAACTCCTTCATTAAATGTTCTAATAATGTTGTCAGGTATTCTTTATTCTTAGGAAAATTTTCTTCTACCCACTGCATATAACTAGAAAAATATAGATAATGTCAATTGTCAGAGCAGCAACTATTTGTTTAAAGGAAAAAAGTAAACTAAATGCTAACCTTTCCCATTCACCAAGTGGGTCATCACCCCTGTAACTCTGCATATGGGCCTCAAACATCCTGGAACACAGAAAAATGAGAACATGGGATATTAATGATATAGCCTCTAAAAGCAAAAGATATATTTGATTTTACGTAATATTTATCATTTATATACCTTGAAATGGAAATCTTAAACATCAACTGAAATGCTATATAAAAATTAAAGCCTCAGAAGTGGTCGTGTTTTTCCAGAAGAAAGACCCAGAGCCCCGGAAGTTACCCCTAGAAAGTGGCTTACATGATAGGGAGTGAGGGAGAGGGGACTTCACTAGATAGCAATCCACTCGGAATTGACTCGATGGCAATGGTTTTAACTAGATAGTAGACAAGAATTACCTTAAGTCAAGGGAGGGACAACACACACTACAGGGGAAGTCAGCACAACTGGACTAAAGCAAAAGCTAAGCAGTTTCCTAAACACAACCAAACACTTCGAGGGACAGAGGAGCAGGGGCTGGGGTCTGGGGACCATGGTTTTGGGGACATCTAGGTCAACTGGCATAACAAAATGTATTAAGAAAAAGTTCTGCATCCCACTTTGGTGAGTGGCATCTAGGGTCTTAAAAGCTTGTGAGCAGCCGTCTAAGATGCATCAATTGGTCCCAACCCAACTGGAGCAGAGGAGAATGAAGAACATCAAAGACACAAGGAAAATATTAGCCCAAGAAACAAAAACGCCACATAAACCAGAGACTATCAGTCTGAGACCAGAAAAACTAGAGGGTGCCTGGCTACCACCAGTGACAGCCCTGACAGGGAACACAACAGACAGTCCCTGACAGAGCAGGAGGAAAGTGTGGATCAGAACTCAATTCCAGTAAAAAGACCAGATTTAATGGTCTGACTGAGACTGGAGGAACCCTGTAAGCCATGGCCCCCAGATGCTCTATTAACCCAGAACTAAAATCATTCCTGAAGCCCACTCTTCAGACAAAAGTTAGACTGCACTATAAAACATGAAATAATACTTGTGAAGAGTGTGCTTCTTAGTTCAAGCGGATACATGAGACCAAATGGGCGGCTCCTGTCTGGAGGCAGGATGAGAAGGCAGGAAGGGACAGGAGCTGGTTGGAGGGATACGGGAAAGCCTGGATGGAAAGGGGGAGTGTGCTGTCACATTATAGAGATTGCAACTAGGGTCACATTAACAATATGTGTATAAATTTTTGTATGAGAAATTAACTTGAGCTGTAAACCTTCACCTGAAGCACAATTAAAAAAGCACTAAGAAAAAAGAAACAAAGTACCAATAAAAGACCTTAATTTGCAAAAAGAAAAAAAAAAAGTGACTTAGATGAGAGAGGCAGCTGGAAGAGGGTCCCCACCTCTGTCCCCAAGAGTCTCCTCTCACTGATGTCCCAAGGTGCTACCACCATCATGAGGGGGCGCTGTCAAAAGTTTGCTCTTCCTCCTCCTGGTCTGACCAGGCATGGCGCTAACTCAGACCCCTCTGTTTGAGACAAGGATGGAACACAGATTCAAAGAGGGCTTGTGAATAGCTGTGAGAGAGCCCAGGGTACCCCAAACCAGGGTTTCCAGATACAGTTTGCTTCTCAGGCCTCAATGAAACGCAGCGTCCCTGAGGAAGAACACAAGATGGCAGGGCTCAAAACTCAGCTACTGTCTGACTCTGGCTCCCAGAGAATTGCACTTGCTCCCTACTTCCACGGACCCAACCACGGCTTAAAAAATAATCAGTCAGACAGAGCTTTCCACGGAAGCTCACGTGCTAGTGAGGTAAACAAACAAACAGGAAGAAATATGTACAATAATGTTAGGCAACATGAAGTGCACAGAAGAAAAGAAAAAGAAGGGGCAAGAGTGTGACAAGAGTTATTATTTTTCGGTGGGGTGGTCAGGGAAGGCCCACCTCTGAGGGTGTAACATTTGAGCAATGCCAGACAGCCATGCAGCTATATGGGGGGAAATGGTGAAGGCAGAGAGAACTTCATGAACAAAGAAGGTAAAAATGACTTTACTTTGTTCCAGGAAGAGAACCAAGTGTGCTAAACAAGGGCGTGGGGGGTGAGGAGCAGAGGTAGAAAGCTGAGAGGCCAGGCACAGCTTGAAGAAAAGGGGGAATTAGACAAGACCTAATTTGGTGGTGGGTTGGACCGCCACTTGTTGGGAACAGTGCAAGTGTGAAATTTGGGGTATTGGGTTTTTGTTTTTGTTTTTTTAATATCTTCTTCGTTGTTGTTCTAAAGATGAATGTAACATTTCTCAATTTGAGATTTTTCACCTGTACAATTTAGTGACACTAATTACATTAATCACGTTGTGCAACTATCACCAATATCCTTTGCCAAATTTTCTATCACCATAAACAGAAACTCAGTGCTTCCTAAACAACTCCTCCTTCCCTCCTGCCCTGGGTGTGTTTAGAAGAAAGTCGGGGGGACTTGCTGATGGGACCGCACACTGTGTGAGTGTGGGCCTTCTGTATCTGGTTTCTGAAAACAGGCTGAGCAATTAAGGTGCTCTTTGTCTTTCTGAACAGAACCCTGGCGGTGCAGTAGTCAAACACTCAGCTGCACCAGCGGGAGAAAGATGTGGCAGTTGGCTTCCACAAGGATCACACAGCCTTAGAAACCTTACGGAGCAGTTCTACTCGGTCCTATAGGGTTGCTATGAGTCGGAATTGACTCCACGGCAACAGGTCTTGTTTAGGTTTTTAGTTTATCTTTCTAAAATACCCAGGCAAGTAAGGGCTACCCATACCCAGCAAACTAACTTTAGAAAGGGAGGGGACATGATACAGTCACGCATAGTCATTGACTGTATGAGCATAACTATGCATTAAGCCTCCAGTCATGCATATTCATTGAGGTCCCAATGACTAGGGGTCTCTGGACTTTGGAGCTCTCTTTTTGGGGCTTCCAGGATTGGTGAGAACACTCTTGCAGAAGAGAGGATGTGGCAAATTCCTGGGGACAATGGAAACCTCGTGCCAGGATCACTCCCAAACCTAGCCTGATGTGTCTCTTTGCTTGTATCCTTTCTGGTTATAATAAATGGGTGACTGTAAGTATAGTTAATAAACCCATTGCCATCGACTCCATGTCTACTCCTAGCGACCCTATAGGACAGAGTAGAACTGCCCCATAGCGTTTCCAAGGCTGTAATCTTTATGGAAGCAGACTGCCACATCTTTCTCCCACAGGGTGGCTGGTAGGTTCGAAACACTGACCTACGGTTAGCAGTAGAATGCTTAACAAAAGTATAGTTAATAGTCTCCGTGAATTTTGTAATGAACCCATAGGGGCAATGAGCCAGTAGGAGCTGGCAGTAAAGACTCCTGAGCTCATGGCTGCTACCTGATGACCCGGCCTCAGGTGGCCAGGGATGTTTACCTGGCTCAGGACAGCCAGAGATGAGGTCTGATCTAATTCTCAGTGGTTAGGATCTGAGAGTTTTTGCCAGGGTAGTGGTTGGCAACGAAGAATGGAAATGTGGGAAGGTGAACCTGGATCCATTTCCAGGTGGAAACTGGATCCACTTCCAGGTGGAAACTGGATTCATGCTGATCCTCCCACTCAGTTAGTGATAAAGGTGGGGTTTGCCCACCTTGCCCCTCTTACAGTGCAGTTTGTAGTGTCCTCCTTGCAGACAGAGAATCAAGTTAAAGAAGATTCCCAGGTTTTCCATCTGAGAAATTATATGATTTTTTGAAAAAGGGATTTAAGAACAATACTTGCTTCTAGCTATCATCTCTGTGTAAAAATGAAATCAATGTTTCTTAAGATTCAAAATCCAGAAGCCACAAAAGAAAAGCTTGATAAAGTCAATTGCATATAAATAAAAAGCTTCTACATGTCAATAAAAACAAACAAACAAACAAAAACTCACTAACTCACACTTCCTCATCTTAAAACATATTATACAGCTACAGTAATCAAAACAGCCTGGTACTGGTATAACAATAGACACAGAGATGAATGGAATAGAATTGAAAGTCCAGAAATAAACCCACACATCTATGATCAACGGATTTTTGACAAGGGTACTAAGTCCATTCTGTGGGGAAGAAGAGTCTCTTCAATAAATGGTACTAGGAAAATTGGATTTCCACATGCAGAAAAATGAAACAGGATCCACGCCTCTCACCATACACAAAAACAACTCAAGATGGATTAAGGACCCAAATGTGCAAACTAAAACCATAAAATTCTTAGAAGAACAAGCAGGGGCAACACTGTAAGGCTTAGCTTTCAACAATGGATTATCTAATATAATAAAATATATAATAAAAGCACCAACAGCAAAAGACAAAATAAATAAACAAGACCTCATAAAAATCAAAAAAAACTTTTGTTCATCAAAAGACTTTACCAAAAAAGTGAAAAGACAAGCTACCGACTGGGAGAGTATCTTTGGAAACCATATATCCAATAAGAATCTAATAACCAAAATATACATAAAACTTCAACAACTTAACAACAAAAAGACAAATAACCCAACCATAAAATGGGAAAAGGACTCGGACAGACATTTCATTAAAGAGGACATTCAAATGGCCACCAAACATAAGAAAAGACGCTCAGCGTCATTAGGCATCAGAGATGCAAATCAAAACCACAGCAAGATACCATTACATTCCCACTAAGATGGCTAAGATGAAAAAAAAAAACAAAACACAGAAAATAACAAATGTTGGTAAGGATGTCGGGAAACTGGAACCCTCACCCATTGCTGGTGGGAATGCAAAATGGTACAGCCGTTGTGGAAAACAGTGCGGCGGTTCCTCAAAGACCTAAAAGTGGAACTACCATATGACCCAGCAATTCCACTCCTAGGTGTATACCACAGACTTGAAAGCAGAGACTCAGAGACATGCATATCAATGTTCACTGCAGTACTATTCACAATAGTGAAAAGACGGAAACAACCTAACTATCCAGCAACAGATGAATGGATACACAAAACGTGGTACATACATACAGGGGAGTTCTACTCAGCCAGCAGACAAATGAAGTCTTGACACATGCTACAATATGGAGGGAGCTTGAAGACATGCTGAGTAAAATAAGTTAGTCACTGATGGACAAGTATTGTATGACTTCACTTATATAAAAAGACAAGAAAAGGCAAATGTATAGAGACCAAAGTTTATTAGTGGTTACCAAAGATGGGGGGAGGGGGCAGTTAACGGTGATGGACAAATTGCATTGATGAAGGGTAGGGTTGCACAGCCATTTATTGTAATTGCTGTCAATAAGGAGTACACCTGTAAAAAGCTGATACAGCAAAAGTTGTGTAATAGATATTGTTATGGATTGAATTATGTCCCCCCCAAAATACGTGTTGTAAACCCTAACCTCTATGCCTGTGGTTATAATCCCATTTGGGAATGGGTTGTCTTTGTTACATTAACGAGGCAGGATTAGTGTAGGGTGTATCCTGAGTTAATCTCTTGAGATACAAAAAAGATTAAACAAGCAAGCAGAGGAGAGATGGGTAAGACAGATGCCAAGACACATGGAGATCTCCATGGAACCAGGAAACAGAAGCTGAAGAGACAAGTACCTTCCTTCAGAGCCAAGAGAGAGAGAAAGCCTTCCGCTAGAGCCAGCGCTCGGAATCTGGACTTCTAGCCTGCTAAACTGTGAGAAAATGAATTTGTTTGTTAAAGCCATCCATTTGTGGTATTTCTGTAACAGCAGTACTAGATAACTAAGACAGATACATTCAAAATAATGACAAAAAAAGAAAAAGAGTAGCTGCTGAGGCTTCTTATGTACAACCAAAAACCTCATGGGATTTGGTTCCTTCGTTCGGAGGTTTTGGGGCATGGTTTCATGGGACATCCCAGTTAAGTGGCCTAATAATGTGTTTAGTGCTTCTGTTCTACCTCCTAGTTCACTGCCTAGCACCTGGGGTCTTAAAAGCTTGCAAGTGGCCGTCCAAGGTACAACAATTGGTCTCTATTAGCCTGGAACAACAGAAGAAGGAAAGTCAGGAAACGGAATGGGTGGCTAATTTCCTCCGTGAACAACTGCCTCCTTTGCCATGAGACCAGAAGAACTGGGTGGTGCCCTGCTACCATGACTGACCATTTTGATCAGTCTATAGAAGAATCCTGATCAAAAAGGGGAAAAATGTAGAACAGAATTTCAAATTCTCATAGACTCCAGAACTTTCTGGAGCTAAGGGGGCTGGATGAACCCCAGAAACTATCGCCCTGAGATAAACCTTAAACCAAAAACATCCCCTGAAGTCTTTTTAAAACCGATCAATAGTTTAGCTCAACTAGTAAAAAATGTCTGCCTTGAGCATTATGCTCTTTTAAGAACTATCTATATGGGATCAAATTGACAACAGCAACTGGAAAGATTAGATAGGAATCTTAGGGGGCAGTGAGTTTATGTTAATGGGGGAGGAACAACTCAGACAAGGAGAGTAAGAATGGTTGCACAGCTCGAAGAATGTAATCAGTGTCAATGAATTGTATGTGCAGAAACAACTGAATTGCTGTATGTTTTGCTGTGTATATTCTCAACAACAACAAAAAAACCACTAAGCAAAGTCAAAAGCACTAATGAACTTGGGAAAAAAAACAGAGCTTCCAGAAGTTAAGAAGAAAAGGACCAACCCAATCAATTTAAAAAGGGGCAAAAAGCATGAAAGACATTTCGCAGAAAAATATACATGGCTCTCTAATGTGAAAAGATCTTCGACCTCTCTCATAAGAGAAATCTGCCTGAGATACAATTTGTCACCCATCAGATTGGCAAAAATAAAGTTTTAAAATGTGACAACTGTGTGTAGGTGAAACGATAGGACGGGTGCTCTCAAACCTTGCTTGCAGGTGGGAGTGTGCTCAGTCCCTGCCAAGGGAATCCACAATTACAGGTGGATTTCCTTTCAGTCCAGCAAACCCACTTCTGAGAATCTTGAGTACACTGGTACATGTGCAAAATGCCATATGTACAAGATTTTCCACTGTGGCATTATTTATAATAGCAAACGACTGTCAACAACACAAGTGTCCATCAATCAGAGACTGCTTAGATCAATTATAGCACATGAAATATTATGAAGCTATAAAAACGAAAGAGGAAGAACTTTCTGTACTGATAGAGAGGGTCAAGGATATTGTTAAACAAGAAAAGCAATATATATGTTGTTACATTTTATGTGATAAAAGCAGGAATTATACACACACATACATGTATAAACAAAAAAAAAAAAAAGAAAACCACTGCGGTCGAGTCGATTCTGACTCACACACAGCAACTCTATAGGACAGAGTAGAACTGCCCCATAGAGTTTCCAAGGAGCACCTCGTCGATTTGAACTTCCGACCTTTTGGTTAGCAGCGGAACTCTTAACTACTATGCCACCAGAGTTTCCACATACATGTACAGATATGTTAAAATATTATAAATATTTATATTCACAAAATCAAAGAATAAAGAGACTTAAAAAAATGGTTTCACATGAGGGTGGGGGAGTAGACTAGTATAGGAAAGCTGAGTGAATATCTTTCTAAATCTTTTTCTTTTAAACCATATAAATGTATTACTTACTTTCAAAAGCTAAAAAAATAATTATTTCTAACTTCTTAATCTCCTCTCATGCCTCATAGAACTTTCCCCCAGAAACACGTGTAACAGACCTGCCTACGGCAAACGTTTCATGTTCAACATCAACAAAATTTCCCTAGTATATTGGCCTAAATACACGGTAATTTAATACTAAAATACTCAATTCTTTAGAGCAAATTCGTCTTTAGAAAGTTAAAATAAGGTCAGAAATACCTGATTTACCTATAAATATAGAAAAAAAGCTTCTAAAAAGAGAATAGTTTACTGTCTAAATCAAAGTTTAAAAAGTCTCAAAGCAAATAGATTTTTTTTTACCTGCACTTAAACATCTCGATCTTCAGATCCCAAAGAAAGTAAGATTTTACCTTGTTTCTCTTACTGTCACGAAGTCACCTGGACTCGTGGCGACCCCACGCACAACAGAAAGAAGCCCTGCCCGGTCCTGGGCCATCCCCATGATTGGTCGAGGGTAAGGCCATTGTGATACATTGGGTGTTCACTGACTGATTTTTGTCAGTAGATCACCAGGACTTTCTTCCTAGTCTAAGGCTGAAGCTCCGCTGAAACCTGTTCAGCATGATAGCAACCCACAAGCCTCCACTGACAGAAGAGCGGTTGCTATGGGGAGAATTCAACCAGTGAACCACGATAAAACTAAGCAGTTTTACCTTCTGTGACATACATTTAACTGTTTAAAATTCTTTTTGAAACATCATCTGCATAAATCACCGAAGACAAACAACAAAGACATGTTGGCGGGTTGGAATAAATGAGTCAACAGTAAGCGAAGCTTTTTTTCTCAAAGGTGCTCTTATTCAAACTTTAAGACTGGACCGTGGGGTTGTGGGTAAGAGGGCAATTTTCCGTTCTTGGTAATTCTGTAGTAGGATTTTTAATCAACTGACTCGTTAGGTCAGCCCTTCTTCCGCATCAGCGATCTGCCCAGACGGGGTTCCCTACAGAGAACAAACAGGAGCTCCGCGGCCCCACAAACGCCCACCCAACGGTCACGGGGTCGCGTTCCGGCGCGGGCGCGCCGGGTGGCACCGCCTGCGGCCCCGGCCCTTCCCACGCCCGGAGCGGCCGCAGCCCGGGTGGGATGGACTCGAGGCCACCGAGGCCGGACGGACCGCGCGAGGACCCGCAGACGCCAGGCCCCCCCAGCCCCTCGGCGGCCCGCAGCCCGGGCCGCGCCCTCCGCCTCGCCCCCACCCGTCCCACAGACACTTACTGGAAGACATTTTCCGCGTTATCCATGGCGAGGGGGTACGCGGGCCAGCTGCAGCCCCTCAGGGACGCGCGCCACCACCCGCCGCTAATTCAAACCTCCCGCGCAGCCGCAGTCCGGGCGCTGAGCGTTTGCGGGGTGCCTGGCCATTGGCTCGGCTGTACAGAGGCTGGCCAATTGCCCGGGCCGTTGCCGGGAGACCAAGTCCCGCCTCCCTCCGCGCGCTGCAGGCTCCCCCACTTCCGTAGCCCTCCCCGGAACCGGAAGCTCCGGGCGGGCGCTGAGAGGAGTGGGCTTCCGGCTGCGGCAGGTTGGTGGTGCTCCGTGGGCTCGGGCGCGGGGCGTTGTTAAGCTTCTGGCTCACGTCAGCCTTTCGGTATTCCTCTGGCTTACGTGACCAGCTCGATGTACCCGAGTCGGAGAAGTAGTGCGTCTGCAACTGGCTCCTGAAGATCGCGCCTCTTCGTCCGTTTCTTAAATATGTGAACTAGAACCAATGTTCAGGGAAAGAAGAGAAAGAATCCCGTTTGTAGGGCGGAGACCCTCGTGTTTTAGGTCCGCAGAGCCCGGGGGAAACTGCGGGTCTACGGCTTAGGATATAAACAGGCAGGCGTGGAGAAACGGGCCCGGGCAAGGGGTCAGTCCCCTCCCCACTTCCTGTGTGTCCCGCGTCCCCGCTGTGATAAAGGAACCCCGACGCTGAGACCAGGGGAACCTAGTCCCAGACCCTAAGATGCTGTGGCCGAGTCGGGGGTTGCCCTTAGGGCGGAGCGTGTGTAATAACCTGATCGAACGACCCGTGGAGAAACCTGAGTGGTTTCGGCTTAGTGACCACAGAGTGAGGGCGCCTAGGGAGGTGCTGAAAAGCTGGTCACGTTAGCTGCGCACCGTCGGTTAACTACACACCGTTAGTTAACTACACACTGTTAGTTAAACTACACATCGTCGGTTAACTACACTCCGTCTGTTAAAACTACACACATTAGTTAACTCTACACTGTCGGTTAACTACACACCGTCAAACTACACCCCATCGGTTAACTACACACCGTCAGTTAACTACACACTGTTAAACTACACCCCATCGGTTAACTACACACCGTTAGTTAACTACACACTGTTAGTTAAACTACACCCCGTCGGTTAACTACACACCGTCAGTTAACTACACACTGTTAAACTACACCCCATCGGTTAACTACACACCGTCAAACTACACCCCATCGGTTAACTACACACCGTCAGTTAAAACTACACACATTAGTTAACTACACCGTCGGTTAACTACACCCCGTCGGTTAACTACACCCCGTCAGTTAAAACTACACACATTAGTTAACTATACACTGTCGGTTAACTACACACCATTCGTTAAACTACACACTGTCAGTTAACTACACACCATTAGTTAAACTACACTCTGTTAACTACATTCCATCGGTTAACTACACATCGTTTGTTAACTATGTGAAGGGCCTCCATTCTTGATGTAACATCTGAGAGGCTGTGTGGGTGCCCTGAAGCTGATGAGGGCCCAGGGGAGTAGGGCTGTTCTACATTCAGCTGGTAGAACAGAAGAATTTGAGTGGATTGCCAGCAGGAAAGCTGCTTTTGACATCTTTTCTGGGACTAGGAGCTCTGGAAACCAAGTTCTTGGGAATCACAAAATCAAAAATAAAGATTTGTAGAGGTGTCCGGATGTCTAAAAAGGAATGTGTAATATGCTAATGCTTAGCAGTCAGTTGGAAAAGAGTTACCACTTAGTCCTCTCTTTTGTCTTTCTGCCCCTTGGTCTTTAATAACTTCCCACGCCACCTCTCAGGGTTGTTTCAAGGGCCACTTGACAACGCAAGTAAAATATAAAGAGCTCTTCATGTGATTACTTCCTTTTAGGAACAGGTTGTGTGGATACTGTTCTGGCTCCTGTAGGCCTCTTAAGTGAAATACGTTTATGTATTTATTTATTTTTAGCAACTTCTGGAAATCCTGATGGTCTCAAAGTCCACAATTTTTTTCAGGTTGTTGATCAGTTTGGATCTGCACAAGTACCCAGTGGTGTGGGGGTTATTACTGAGAGCGTGCCCACTCGGGGGGCTTTAGCTGAGTGCTAGGTTCTGGTAACCATCACAGGTATTGAGACATGTTTGTCCCATCAACTTAAGTTTTGTGTCTGATAGTGGCTCAGTCAGTAATTATTTAGGAAATTTTGATTGAGCCTCCATCGTCTTCTAGGTACAACTGGACTTAAACCTAATTACAACCTTGTCTAACTCAGATTTTGTCCTTAAGAAACGAATGGTTTTGTCTGGGAAATCAAGAAACAGACACAGAATATTGTTTAAAGGTAGTATATACGTATACTAACAGCCAAATGAGGGTTCAGACTATCTGCTAGAGGAGTTCAGAGGATGGACAGGTTATGGGGGCTTGTCAGCAGATCAAATAAAGCTTCACAGGGAAGGTGGGGCTTGAATTGGGCCTTGAAGGAAGATGGGAGGCGTGGGCAGGGAGGATGGATATGGATGGCAGACAGCCCAGAGAGGACATTCGAGGTGTAAACGATGGTTAGAGAGGGAGAGCAACCCTGAGGACTCCTGTTAAAGTGTAGTAGAGATTCTTTTGGAAAGACAGGATTGATATTTTGATGTCAGATTGTAAGTGCTAGATTAAGGAGTTTGTACTTGATCACCTTGGTAACTGGGCCTTTTTTTGACAAAACAAGCGTTGGGACCGTAAGGGCCTCATGATAGTTACACTTAGCCCTACCCTGTTTTCTGAAAGCCACAGAGATGTCTTCCCTCCTTCACTTCTGCTACTACCTACTCCTATCTCTCTGGACTCCCACCAGGCTTTTCTCTGGTGCAGGATGCCTCTTCCACACTGCCCATTAAAAAAGGGCACCCGCAAACCCGCTGCCGTCGAGTCGATTCCGACTCACAGTGACCCTGTAGGACCGAGTGGAACTGCCCCATAGGGTTTCCAAGGAGCGGCTGGTGGATTTTGGTTAGCAGCAGAGCTTTTAACCACTTCCCCACCACCTTTTATAAGGCCCCACTGCCAATCACTGTGGGTATATCCAGGAGTAACAGAAACAAAACACGGGTTGCCCATGGTGACTAGAAACTGATGTTTTTATAGTATAATTTCCTGGCTTATGCAATGACTTTCCTTTGTACTTTTGGAAGTCCCACTCTGCCACTGTTTTTATTCTGAGAGAACATTCCAATGATCCTCCTGCACAATGTGTTCATCTCAATGTCCCTACTAGGTCAGTTAACCTAGTGGTGCTCAGGATTTACTGGGGAAGGGGGAAAGGTGGCCAGTGGAGGAAGAGAATGGTCATTCAGAGGTGTGATAAGACTTTAAACTGGTGTTGGAGGCAGAGGGAATGGAATGTAAAGAAGGGAATCAGATCTCATGAAGAGACAGAGTTCTCAGAATATAATGATGCCTTCAGCATGTAAAGAAAAGAAAAGAGTCAAAGGTCATTTTGGGGTCTAGGAGATTGACAGACTAAGGCCATTGAAGCAGGAAGGCTGCTAGTTTGGTTTTAAATGTGCTAAGTTGGAGGGGTCAGCACAGATGTGTCCTTTTGCATAAGGTTAGGTACCGCAGTAGAGGGAGACAGACCTCAGGCCTTGGTAAAAGGAGTCTCACTTGCTGCTTCTCACAGCTGCTGCTTAAGCCTCGGATGATTTCTCATCCTCAGAGCTTCACGTTATCTCTACTTGTCAAGGATAAATGAAGACCCTCCAATAGCTCCTTTGACAAAGAAAATCTGTAAACCCCAGAAGGCTGGCAATCCATGTAAATCAATAACAGCAGAAAATGCTGAAGGGCTGGCAACTGGGCTGCTCATTTTTAACAAATTAGCTAATTGGGACCTCGTGCCTTTGACAGTGCTCATCTTCTAACCCCCTTCTGCCCTTTCCCCGCAAGCCTTGCTGAGACGGTAGCAATCGGCATGGACTATCTGAAAGTCTGTAAACCATCATCCTTGTTTCATGCATCTGTCCCTCCCTTTTAGGGGCCCTGGTGGCACAGTGGTTAAGCGTTTGGCTGCTAACCAAAAGGTCAGCAGTTTGAATCCACTAGCCACTCCTTGGAAACCCCATGGGGCAGTTCTACTCTGAGTCAGAATCAACTCAGCAGCAATGGTTTTTGTTTTTGTTTTTATCCCTCCCTTTTATTTTTGGCATTGCTGTTGCCTTAATGCTTCTGTTCCTTTTCCCCCCAAACCCACCTCAGAGTGTGAGAGGGGAGGTGGGCTTTGATCTGGGTGGGAGCAGCAGAACCAGCTATGTCCAATGTATGCCTTTTCTGCTTCAGTTGCAGACATGCTCAGCTATCTCTCTTTTCCTTCACACTTTATCTCGTATGTTAATTTCAATATTAAAATTTCTACCTATAAAATAAGATTTCTCTAAATTATTAGAAAGGCCAATAGATAAAAGTATCTTCATATATATGTATATATACATCCGTTGCCGTCAAGTTGATTCCAACTCATAGAGACCCTACAAGACAGAGTAGAACTGCCCCACTGGGCTTCCAAGGACTGTCCATCTCCAAGGACTGGACCTTCCCAATAGCATGTCCAAACTACATGAGACGAAGTCTCACATCCTTGCTTCTAAGGAGCATTCTGGCTGTACTTCTTCCAAGACAGATTTGTTCATTCTTCTGGCAGTCCATGGTGTATTCAATATTCTTTGCCAATACCATAATTCAAAGGCATCAATTCTTCTTGTGAGTCTGTGGCATTTGAACCATGATCTGCTCCTACCCCTGCCCCTTACAAACTTCATGTTATAAACGGTCTGTCCTGGGGGGTTGTGGCCAAGAAGATGAGGGCTCCCTTCCCCCCAATTTCTAGTCTAGGCCTATGGTTTCATCCTAAGAGATTGCCCGCATCTCTCATCCTCCCCAGCCTCATGTTGCAAAAGTGCTGTTTTGTACAGGTGCAGCCCAGAGGGCTGAGGCTCCCTTCCTCCACCCAGTTCCCACTTATAGGGCAAGGGCTCTATCCAGGCATGACTGTCCAAGAGTACTGGTCTGATCATCACTGCCCAGCTCATTCTTAGGGCAGAGGTTCCGTGCTGGGATGGTCAAG